GGTGAGAGGTCTAATACTTTGAATTCGGAGTTGTCATCCAAGGAAATTTTATAAAACATCTTATATGGGGCATTTTTTAGAAATCTGATCCATTGTATTTTTAACCAAGGCACAGCTTCTCCATTGATGTTTTTCTTTCTATTATTCATTGATTCTTTTAGTTCTTGTTGATTCCATTAAATTATAATAATGCTCAGGGACGTATAAATAATAAGATTTTTTAATTTTAGTTTCTATCAAACCAAAATCCCGATCATTTGGCAAGAAAGAATGGCCGGATACCATAAATTTATGATCAATTGTTTCAACATTATTATCAGATGACTGAACAATTTTTAGCCATATTCAAGCTATGTTAATGTTTCGATTTTGTCCTGAGCAGGCATCACTGTAAGCTATTATATTCTTTTGAGCGGTAATGTCCCGAATATGCTTTAAGATGCAAGACGCAACTTCCTGTGATCCTCTTGAGGCGATTGTTTCAACCCATACATACATTTTAGCATTTCCATTGTGGAAATTAGGAAATCCTAAATTATATACATACACGTTGCGCTTATAGTAAGCTACCGAAGCGCTTTTTCTAGGTCAAATGCAAATCCGTAAATTTCTTTCGGGTTATCTTTTGTTTTTTGTATGTCATCTTTTAAACTTTTTCTAGCCTGTTCGGCACTTTTAAGATGTGAATCATGAATTTCCATAAGATGCAACTTTTCGCCCTCATTACTGGATGATTCAATTTTTAGTTTTATCGAATCACACTTTTGGCACGTGTCTTTACGAGGAATATGAAAATTTATGTTGAACTCAGTATTAAATATGTTTCTATAAGTTCACTCCTTTACATATGATGTATTATTTTCATCACATTTTTCCACATATAGCCCATAAATTTTTCGAATATCTAAGTCAGCACTTAGATACTTTCGACCTGAAGTGTGACATGATCTCGTGTAATGGCTCTCACATGCTGGAAAACTCTGAATATGATCTCGTACTACTTTAAGTTTTTCTTCATCTGTTTTTCTAGATGAACTAGCCATTTTGCCACGACCATTTGTATGGGTTCTGCATCTGATTCATCCGAAGACGATATCATTCTTATTCGTTTCCATTTCTTGGGAGCATTATTTCCATTTATTCGCCGTAAAATGTCTACAATTGACTTTAAATAGTAGGTTTTTACATTAAAAGTTTTACTTCATCCTACCTGAATCACTATCTGAAGACATAATAAAATTACTTATACCACTATCAAAACCAACAATATCTGTATTTCAGTTAACAACTAAAAAAATAAACGCATTTTAATGACTTAATTTGAATGGCATGCTGCTACTTTCTTCAGATTATATTATTTTATTAAGATTTGACAAGTAAAAGCTGATAAAATAGATTTTTAAAATTTTTGACTTATACCACTTTCAAAATCATGGGCACATATAAATACGTCTATAATAAACAAATACATATATATATTCATTTATTATGATTGCATTCATACTACAATACGAGTACATGAAATACTTGGTTGGGCGCGTGAGTATTTGTTTTGACCACCATTCGCGCGTACACCAAGTGTTTACTCCACAGCGAACAAAGAGGACTCAATGGGCTTTTACGCGGAAGTCACGGCTATTATTGCCACTGAAATTATATGGGAAGCGAAAAATTAGCAATAGTTTGTTATACATATTATTATTTTTGTTTTGTTTTGAATTTTTCTGATTTTTCTCCTCTGTGTCTTTTGCTTTGTGTTGTGCTTATTATGCTAATTTTGTTTTGATTTTATGCAAAAATAAATATATTTGCACAACTTATGCCCTTAGAATAGTAAACATCGTGGTTAAACCCACAAAAAGTATAAACTTTCTTCTTAGATAAGAACGAAGAAGGAAAATAATGAGTTTTCGACATTTCACAGAAATAAACAAAATAAACTACATATGTACGTGTATGTATATTTGTTATTTTGTTATTATTGTATTAAAAACTCGCTGAAAAATTGACATTAATTACACTTAGTAAAAACAAATAAATCTAATGAACCACAACAACATTGCCGAAAGCCAACTTTATCACAGCTGACCGTTTGGCACGTGCTTGGCATACCGGTTTCGCTATCGTTATGCTCAAAAACATAAGCTCGTAGATACGTATGCAGGGCTATCAGTTTTGCGGTTTCGAAAACAAACGATATATAAAAATATAATAAATATAAATTTTTGTTTTCCATGAAACTCCTTTTTTTATTATAAAGTTTGAAACTAAGCATTATATGTGAAACACTACATCTTCTTCGATCCGTTTGATGCCATTTTCGACCACTTTTTGACTACATATTGGATATCTCAGCCATAACTTGACGTATGTTGGTTTGGAAGTTCTCAAGAATCATACGTTTATTTGCTTAAACACGACCTCCCGCGTGGTTCCCACAAAAAGTCCAAAGGTGCCAAGGTACAGGTTTTGGGTAGCAAATTGACTTCACCAAAACGAGAGATTACGTGGCCGAAAAACTTCTCTCGCAATAAAGCCATGTTGTGGGGTATATGGAACCATCTTGTTGAAACCACATATTGTCCAAGCCGTGTTCTTCAATCGTAGACCAAAAAAAAAGTCCCTTATCATACGACCATAACGCTTCGAATTGGTAGAGATAGTCTCGCCGTTGTCATTTTGAAACAAGTAAGGTCGAAGCACACCTTCGGACGAAAGAGCGCACGAGGCAGTAAGTTTCTTTCGGTGTAATATCTCTTCAATTATTTGAGTCTTCTCCGAAGCCCTAAATGCGAATGTAGATGTAAGTCCAAGTGCAAATTACGCCATAATGTGCCATAAAAGTGTTTCAGCTCTTCAGAACGTCGAAAAATAGACACATTCGGGTCTTCGACTACACTTTCACCTACAGCAGCAATATGTAAGATGGAATGAGCAAAACGTTGATTCAAAGACCTTACAATGTCTGTAACCGAACGAGTCTCGTCAAATTTCTTTAAAATTTTACTATTTGCTTGAATCGTTTAACGATCCTAAGCAGCATAATCTCCTCTCAAAGCACGAAACTTTTCGTTGCTACATTTGAGTCACCATTTTTGTAGTAGATCTTAACAATTTTAACGCTCTGTGCGATCCATTTTCATAACTGCCTGTCTTTAAGCTAAAACAAAACATGTTTGGTTCGACAGTTAGGTTTGACAGAAGTCAAAATACGTTCTTGTACTGTTGAAACCACGAAATAGATAACCCTATATTTTTCGGTTTCTGCAACTTGTCTAACAAAAATGCTGTCTCAATATTGTTTTTTTGTTTTTTTTATTATTTTTGTTTTTATGAATAGATGCTATTTTTAGATCTCATTATTAATAGGAAAATATTATTGCGTGGTCACAATATCAATAGTTTTTGTGATTCACATTAGGGTGGCCCAGCGTTTTATTGAATTTATTAAATTTCCAATAATTTGTTATATACATACATATGCATATGTATTCAAAGTTTGGCGTTTAAATATTACTACAGCGGTTGAGTTTACATACCCATGTATGAGCGTTTCTCATAGTCTTCCAGGAAAGTGTGAATTAAGTCGGACATGACTATTCTGATCTCTGATCTAAAATAAGCTAAAATATGTATATATATAATATAATAGGCGCTTTATAATCGCTGAAACGATTTTCGGCCGTGGTCCTCCTCAAATTTGTGGTTTTACATGTTGATTTTTTCCAAAAAATGGAGGGACCAACAGTTTATACTAAGCCGCCTGCAAACTGCTGATATGAGGAGCCTTTTTCATGTCAGAAATACTCTCGAAGATGTTGACGTTCCCTAGAAAAATTCATTTTTTATTATTTTTCATTTTGGTCGGACCTCGAGTCCTGGTCTTCAGAATGACTGTATGCAATGCTAACCACTCTACTCTTATGGCCGCCAATCTCAAATGAATCCAATAATAAATGTGTTTTCTTCGTATAGGTCGATCTCTGGGCCACTAACTGAAATAAAAGAGATTGCCTGGCCAGAACCGATTCATTTACTGCGCACGATTTTTGGTCTTAGATTTTTAGGCGTTCCAAAGTGTGAAAGCAAATAATCAAACAATCCTGTGATGAATCCTGTAGTGTCCGAATGATGATGTCTAAATCATGCTTGACGACTTTAACGTCATATTGGAAAAAGAATGTATCAACGGCACATTGGCTGAAAAATTCAAATAATTGACATAGTTGGTATCGTAATATGGTTGTCTTTGGGCCCAGATTCTTCTCTTTCTTTTTTTTCATTCCTTATACACCAGATTCCTCCAACGACGCGGAAGTCATCCTCCACTTCCATCCGTGGGTACTGCATGCAATGCTTTCAGAGCTCGTGTGTTTTCATCCACCGGGACGGCACGATTTATTCGCCGTCGCCGAACGTATTTTACCATTTGTTTTTCGTAAAGGCTCCTAAAGACTGGGCTAATCGTTGGTCATGCTTTTTCCGACCAAATTCTGCTGTTATATTTGAATATCTCTAAGCCAGACTCTTCGAGCTATAATATTGGAACTTTATCATAATCAGAGGAGGAGCGTCTATATTGGCGTTTCGAGCTTACCATTTCCAGGTTTTTTACTTTCAGTGCAGTTAAGTTGACATAAGCTCAAAATATTCTGAAATTGAAATTACTTGGCTGTTATCGGATCGAAGGACTCGAAACCAGATCGGACGTGCTGTGATAGGGGAAGAGTATGCATCCAGGGTCTTAAATGTGCGAATTATCTGAGTTCTGAAATTGACTCGGTGCAGCCAAGAACACGCATTCGGCTCTTTACCGACGATAAACAACTAAAAGCTCCGTCAAAATCGGAAGGATCTCTCCAAACCATTCGATACTAAACGAGACTACAGACATACATACATACATAACTAGTTTCGGTTTCTAAGCACCACATTTTCACAACAAAACACAGCTTAAAAATCGTATATTTTATTATAATTTTTTTTTTTTTTATTTCCAGTAAAAATCTTAAGGAAATCGAAAAATTAATACAAGAAGAAACAAAAATCTCACGTGACCATTTAACACCAGAAATAGCGCTTCATCTTATCACACCGCAGTGTCGACTCTTTCATGAGCCCGTTCCTGCATTTAATACTAAGAAGTTGTTCAAAGAAGATCCCTTTTGGGCGTTCTATTGGCCTGGTGGACAGGCCATCAGTCGGTGAGTTTGTTTTTATTATTTTTTGATAAGCTTACATTGAAGTAACTGTAAAACATTTACTAATTTTATGCATGTACATATATTTCTTTTAACAGTTTCATACTCGACAATCCATCTTTGGTCGCAGGCAAGTCGGTGCTAGATGTGGGCAGCGGTTGCGGCGCAAGTACCGTTGCTGCGCTGATGCATAATACCAAATATGTGGTGGCAAATGATATTGACGAAGGTATAATAAAAATATAAAAAACTAAAGGTTTAAAACAAAAAAAATGAAATGAAAAAGAAACAAAAAATCGATTTGGAGATGCCGGGGATCGAACCCGGGGCCTTTCACATGCAAAGCGAACGCTCTACCACTGAGCTACATCCCCTCACATTTACTTTCCGTCTAAGTGCGCATATATGCTTTTCTCTCAACATAACTCTCTATTTCTCTTTTACACTCTTTAAATTAAACACACTTTTTTCAGCTGCTGGCTGTGCTACTCTGCTGAACGCTCAACTAAATGGGGTGGATCTCAAACGACTGCATATTTGTACAGAAAATTTAATCACAAATCAAGCAATACGAACAACGGTGATAAAAGAGGACTTGATATTGTTAGGCGATGTTTTCTATGATGAAGAATTTGAGGCAATCTTACAACCATGGCTGAAAAGCCTACACAAAGCTGGCAAACAAGTACTCGTCGGTGATCCAGGTAGGCATGGTTTGACAGCGGAACGACGGCAGGAGATGAGACGTTTGGCTAAATATGAATTGACCGAAAGTGGTTGTATAGAGAATAATGGATTTCGTTTTGTTAATGTTTGGGAGTTGCGGAGTTGATAATTTAATAAAATATTTACTTAATAATTAATGAAAATTTTAATTCACTTCTTGCCAATAGCATATAAATAATTAATGAATAATGAAGTTGGTTGAAACATTGAAAAACTTATTTACTGCAAAAACATAAATTTTTTTCAGGTTATTTTAATTTTATTATCACAGCTTATTTTCATTAATATTATTTTTTTTTTTGAAAACTTCCAATAAATATATTTTTTTAAATCAAATTAATTGCTGCAAAAAAGTCTTGGAGATGCCGGGGATCGAACCCGGGGCCTTTCACATGCAAAGCGAACGCTCTACCACTGAGCTACATCCCCTCGCATCAGCCTAATGTCCGACGACTAACTTCTTATCTGCCTACCCAGTAGTTATCTGTCCAGTACATACATATGTAAAGCTAGTAAATACTGCGGTGCAAATTGAATCTGTACTCATTACGGTGTCCATTAAGTCGCTAATGAGTTGTTCACTCCGCTGTCATGTTGAATATTTAATTACACGACAGTTGCAGGAAGCACGAGTCAAGCACATGGCGAGTTTGGGTGTCAGGTATAACGTGTATTGTGTGTTTAATGTATGTAAGTGCGTATGCAAGTGTGAAAATTAAAGCAAATAGTTGTAACTTTCATATGTGTGTAGGTAGGTAGTTACTAAACTAATTCTTCTTACAAAGTAAATTGCGAAAGCTTTAGATATTACTTTTATATATTTTATTTTTATTTTATATTTTATAATATTTATATGTATATATAAATATATCTCTAAGACTCCTCGATAGATTTTTCCTTGTGTTTACCTGCTGAAATGGGTGTGTATTTGTTCAAAAAAATTTCATCCTCGAAATCTTAATAGATATTAGCTTTTTATTTAATTTTATGTAATTAAATTAATTAAGTTTTATCTGTTTGTTTTATGTCTATATTCATAAATATTATGCAATTTAAATATAATTTATTCGATTTAATTAACATTTTCTTAAATCTTATTTTAACTTATTATTTATATTTCGACATGTTTTCTCAATAATCCCATCTTATGAGCTCTCCTTCAGGCTACCCGATAATTTTTTTTTAACTGTAATTTCAGCCTTTTGAAGGCAGCAGGCTTCATTGGAATCGAACTTACTAGCAAGGATATCTTTATTTTCAGCGATTTAACCACCTTTTTCGCCGATCTCTACATGAGGTGGTCAAACAGAACAGTTTATCTCTAGTGTAGGTTCCTAGTCACAGAGTCAAAGGGGGAAATTATAAGTCCGAAAAAAACTTACCAAGCAAAGCACAACAGAGGCGTTAGTAAAAACACACTGCAGAAAAGGCCACGCGAAATAGTATCGCAAAAGATAGCATTTGTATTTCTAAGGTTATAGGAATCTACCCCATACAATTACACGGTCAATAATTACGCATTCAAATACATTTTTTTTTAAAGAAGGTATAATTCAATCATTTCAGCTAATTTGGACAAGTATTTTTCGAGTTATTGTAGTTGCCAATTTTAAAAAAGTTGCTTTGAGGAAAACGCGTTTAAAGTTTTGAAAACCTGTTATGCGCTGAAAAGGGCATTCCCGAAAAATGAAAAAAAAACCAGGGGTTCGATTTTCGATCTGAAACTTTTTGGAGCGTATTCTACGGGAAATTTCCTAATTTTTTAGATAAACAAAAAAAATCTATTTTTTTTACCTTCTAATTGTATCTACCCGCTTATGGGGACCCTCCCCCGATTGTGCATAAAAAAACCGATTTTTTACGCAAAAAAATGAAAGCCATATATTTGTAGAGTAATGTTTAAAGAGATTTTGCAATACGATGAATATCTTTCAAATGGCAGCTTTTCGAACACACCTGGCTCACGCAAGCTATGAACTTTCAAAAAATTTCCTCAAAACCATGTTTTCCGATCTAATTTCAAACCACGGGCTTGATCTATTCATCCGATTTCTTTTATCTGAAAACCTTTTCAAAGTACAATATATAGGTTTTTGTACGTTTTGAATTAAGATTATCATTAATAATTAATTTTATATATTTTTTTAACGTAATTTAAGTGAAAAAAGGAGCAAAAAATTTAACTTTATAATTGCAATGAGCATTATGCAATAAATTTATCATTAAGATTGTTTCAATTGAGGTTCAGGACGTGAGAAATTTCATGATCTTCAAGTTATGATCACGGTTTTTTGATTTCGGGTCTACTACACGAGGCTGTCGGCTTGAGGTTGTTGGGCCATGCTTTTCGCGCAGTGGCTGACGGTAAGCCCCATTCTGTAGTCGTCACCTCGACAATTTCGACAATTTTTTTTCCCGTTTTAAAATCTTAAATAATAAACAAATTTAATAGCCAAAACCGGAAGTTCATCCGTCATTTCATTCTCCCACAAAAACAAAATACAAACTTTGCCTGATTTTCGCCCATAATCAGGAGAAGGTCCCTTAACAGGCCACTGCTTGATAGAACGACTTACAGCAAGACTGGGAAGCAGCCAATGCAGAAGCTGTAAAAACGATAGAAATCCTTGACCAAGCTGGCAAAGAATGGAACAATCGATTCTCACAGGGTACCATTAATCCCGGCATGGAGACTATTTTTGCCGGCACGCTGCCCTTCGATCACGACTGAACTATTTTGTGTGCAATGTTTATTTGCAAAAATAATGGACTACTTTTTACTTGACCAACTATTCTGTTTCATATTATTTTATCTTAATTTTTTTACTTTTATTTTTTATTATTTTAACTTTTCTTCTTTTTATTTTTTTTTTAATGTTTTTTGAATTTTTTTTCCTTTTTATAATATACTCCGCAGCTAAATCGGAAGTGATTTCTTTCTACTTGTTTAGCCTCAATCGTAGTATCGTAGAAGATATTGGGACGGTTTGCACTTGAACTTGACTCTTTAGCCGTTCAATTTGAATTTCATTATCCAGCATTTCTCGATAACTTCTTTATCCTCATTGGTAAGACAGAAGAAGAGCGTTATTAGATCTCTTGTTACCTTGTTGCCGAACAGATGGGTATTCCAATTCTAATAAAACTAAATAATCTGGTTTTTGAAGTCTTTTCAAAATATTATATAAGTTTTGCAGGAGTTTAATAGGTAAAGTAAGACTCGGGAGAACTTTGGATTGTCTAGAAGTATCCAATTGTTTCATCCAATTTACACTACAAATTAAAAAAAAGAAAAAAACAATTATAACCGTTGAACTGTGAAAAGCTCCGGAAAACATTTATAGTATTTCATTTCCACTTCGGGAAAAATTTTTGGATAATCTACATAAAATATGACTATAATAACTCAGTCTTTCATTCGACGATAAACAGCTCTAAACTAAAATCCCTGCACATCTTCATATAGTCAGTTTTCTGTTGGATTTAAAGCTTTGGCTTTTGGATACTCATCTGAGATAAAAGTTTCTTTACTTTAACTGTAACCCCTTTCTTCAGTAAGGGATGGCATGAAGACCTGGTGGAAATTTGTCGGTAAAGCCATTTTGGTTTCGTCTATGAGCCCATCATATCATGCTAGTTCGCATTTGTGTATTAATGTCTTCGTAAGCAGGCGGTTTTAGTTTATTCAACGTTTCTTTTTATGATGCTTACCTCAGAGGGAATGTCAAACCCACCGAGTGTATTTCTGACATGAAATAAAACTCCTCTTGAAAAACCATCAGCCGTTCGGAGGCGGCTTAGTATGAACTGTAGGTCCCCCCATTTGTTGGAAAAACATCTAGACGCAAAACTACAAATTGTAGGAGGAGCTTGGCCGAAAATCGTTTCAGCGGTTACAAGGCACCCAGATGAGGTTGTATTCACTACGGGCGTAGTCATCAAGACGTAGTGTGATGAAAATAAAATCAAGAAATGATTCATTGCTGAATTATGTTGCATTACTTCGTTTAAATGATTTGCTTTTCGTTCCTTTTATGGACACCGACTTTGCTTGTTGTTGTAGCGATTGGCTAACACCGGTTGGGAGCAGTCTATGTCTCCGAGGTTATCTAACGGGAGGTCCAGGAAACGAGTTGTTACGAGGTGTTCAAACCAGAGCGAAAGGATGGTTAGAGAAGTTAATTTTTTGAGGCATGCAAAATTGTGATTTGTGTCGTGCGTGGACTCATTGCATGAAGGATATCGGGGTCATATCTGGATAGGCAGAAGTTTAATCTAATACTATATCTAGATCTAAGTTTCGTCAGTATTACGCTAGACTCTTGTCAGCAAGGCTTTTATCCGGCCAAGCGCTGTCAGCCTTGTGGCGACCTAACCCCGTTTAGGTCAGCAGATAACATTAGACACCGACTCTCTGTCTCTCGATTTCTACTGGTAACCTAAAGGCTTTGTCGGTCTTACAGAGTGGATTTCTTTGAGAAGAATTTAGCGTCAAAGCAGTAATTTATATTTTTAAGTGTGTTTCTTATTTATATTTTAGAGCCTCGCACAGTTTTTCTCAATAGCTTTTAAATTTAGATTTGAGAGACGATATCAACAACAACAATTCTGACAATCTCAACACAGTCAATGTTTTTCGAGTACAAGGCGCTCAATTCGGCTATGGGTGGTTCGTACTGTACATTGGAGAGAATCTCTATAAGCTGCTACAGTTGCTGCTACAGTAGACGCTATTATTAAAATTTAAAAAAATATATATTTAGGGCTTTCTCTCGGCAGGGGGTGTCAAATCCTCCGTGTATATTGATATTAAATTAAAAAACTTTTCATAAAAATTCATCAGTGCTGCTGAGGCGCCTTAGGTGAAAATGGTAATGCCCTACATTTGTTGGAAATTCAATCGTGTCTCGGCACCACAAATCAGAGAACACGAAGAATGTAAACACGGTTCTAAAATTAAAACTATATTTAACGGTAATAAAAAGAAAAGAAAGGCATGTCATATTTCAATTTTAACATTTATTGTTTTTTCTTTACTTTGTTAAGTGTTATTTTTGTGTGTAAATGTTTTTGTTGCAATTATTGGTATTAATGAAATTAAAGAAAAATATGTGAAGAATTTTTTCTTTTTCAACCAAAGACCGTAATAGTTATAGCAAAAAAAAAAAACATACTTAATGTCAAAGAAATAATATAAGACTTCATATATAATTATGTATTTGTTAAAAATTATTAACTCAAATTATGGGTGTGTGATAAAAAAAAAACAGGAGAGGGTTGAGTAGAATTAATAAAATTTATTAATTTCATGTTGTTCTGAGCTGCATATGTATGTATGTTGACAAGTTTTTAAATTCATATATGATAATGTTATTTTTTAATCATTTATATTTTGCTTTATTTAATTTTTTTGTTTTAGTATTTTTTTTACATATTATTCACGCTTACAACTACTTAATTTAATTTAAGAATTAAAACTTAACTTAGTGTTTGTATAAGTATAATATATAAACACGTTTAACCATACACATTTTGCCATTTTTTCTTTTCAATGTGAAAGGTAAAAAAATAGGGCAAAATCTTGAAAACAATCTATTGCAAATTGTAAATAGAGAAAACTAAACGCACACGTTTAAAAGAGACAGACAGAAATGTTTATATGTTGCTTCAACTTATGGTTTAAATATCTTAACATTTTTTTAGTTTTTCCTTTTTTCTTTTTCTTTTTTGTTTTTTTTTTTTACATTTCAGTGTTAAATTTGTATTAATTTATTTTACAATATATTTTATTTTTTATTTTGCTTATTCCTAAAGTCTACAACTTTATGTGTCTTGCATGTTTTTGTTTTTTTTTTGTAATTTGCAACATTTTCTCCATAATTTAAATATATCAAAAGTGCGAAAAGAAGAGAAGAATCTGAAATAAATATGCGACAAAAACACATATGCGTATATACATCGTATGAGTATATGCATATGTGTAAACATAAATATATATATATTATATTTTATGAGCAAATATCGTAACTATACACAAGTAGAGCGGTCTATTGCTTTTGTAAGATAAGAGAGCATTATTCTCAAATTAACTGCTTTTTGACCTTTTTCTCTTTTACCATGCAATCCGTTTTGAAATTACAACCAAAAACTACTTCATTTCGCTTTTAAAATAATAAAAAAAAAAAACAACTAAAGAAGTTAACAACGGTGTTAAGAATATTGTAAGGAATTTATTACTTTTTAAATACTAACAAAATGCAATCAAATAAATTTCTATTGGACTAAATTAAATTCTCAAGTTTTATGTAAAAATAAATTTAAATTAAGGAATTTCAAATTGCAGTATTAAGTGTAAAAATACATATGTACGTATGTAAATCAAAATTGCAAATAAAGTTTTAATGCAACATAGCAAAACTTTTCGAGAGAGAGAAAGAGAGAGAAAGCGAGATATAGGAAAATTTGAACCAAATTACAAATTACAAATTACGATTATTTTTTTAGTGTTATTTTATACAGTTTTGAGTTTATCTAAAATTACAATAATGCAAATTGCAATAAAGGCAAATGTTGACTTAATCTTAGGGGGAAATTAGCAAAATATAAAATTATATTTAGCATTTATTTATGTATGTATGTGTGTATATATAATTATGTTTGTATACCTAATATAGTAGCAAAGTTAAACACACAAATCAAATATATATTTAAATATAAACTTAAAAAATAATCGCTAAAAACTAGTAATTAATATTAACGGACATGTATATGTGTGTCTGTATACATGCTCATATATGTATTTCGCTCTAGCGGCATTCTCAGATGTATTTATATGTTCCTGTGTTGCTAAACACGGCTGGCGTTAAACATGAAATCGCATCCACCACCTACGTACAGTTCAAACGCCAACGCCTATCTCTTTGCGATTGTCTCAATCCACCAACCGCGGCTGCACTCTTTCACATTATCGGATCGGGCCCTTGACCTTCCAGATCGGACACTTGACTTTGATAGTGTAAAGCATCTTGGTATGCCTTCTTCACTGCCTTTCGTTCGGTTGGCTTACGTGACTCAACCAATTTTTGTTGATCCAGCCCCTTATCGATTCCCAGTATTTCGAGTTTATTAGCCGGCAACCATTGCCAGGTGCGTTTCACATCGAAAAATAGCACAAGGAATACCACATCTTCGGTGTAGTTTTTGCGTAACGCCAGCACATCGGGCGGTGGTGCCGGCAACGGTACACCGTTGTAAACGAAACCCTTTGGCGTTTTGGGATCAAGTATTAATGCTGGATACCAGGGATAACCTCGACACTTGGCCCACACCAGCTGCAATGGCTCAAGCGGTGGCTTTAGCAATGTTGCTGAAGTGGATGTCGTTGTCACTGCCTCTTCGCCATCCGCTTCGGCAGCCTCGTTAGGTAAATCGGCATTCGCTGATGTTGGACGGGATGCTGAAGATGGTGTTGGTGTTGCCGCCGCAGCACCACGTGTATTATGTGTGTTATTATATTTTAATTTATTGTTATGACTCGCTTTTCGTCCTCTAGCATTATTCGTAATGGGTGTAGAGGTGGCGTTGATGCCAGTGGCGGTGGGTGTTGCCGATCTGGTTAAAATCTGTTTATTGGCGGAGCGAGCAGCTGTTGTTGCCGAAGCCGTCGCAGTCGTTGTCGTTGTGCTTGTCGTCGACGGCTTCGTCTTGGCAGTTGTTGTTATTGTTGTGGTGTTTGCCTGTGTCACCTGGTTGGCATTCACATTTGCCTTCTTTACGGCCGCATTCATTTCGTTTCCCGCTTTGCTATTTTTTTGCTTCGTGCGTGTGGCATTACGTGGACGCTTCTCTGAGGGTGTTGGTGTTCGCGTTGCAACACTTTTTGTGTCCGTTTCCGCATTATTGCTCACGACGCCATCGTTACTCTCCTCAGCGCCATCTTCGCTATCAGCTGCACTATCGACACTAGCGCTCACTGCTTCGCCGTTACTACCCCTTATGGCCCTCTCGCCATCAATATCACCTTCACCTCCACTGCCGATCTCACGCATTTCCACATCCTCTTCGCGACCATCAACTTCTTCATCGTCCTCACTTTCCTCATCACCATCACCATCTCCCTCACCATCATCCTCGCCATCCTCTTCGTCCTCGTCTTCATCATCATCACTACTATCATACTCTGACCCAGAACCGCTGACACTAAAACCGGAGCAACTACTGCATGGACTGCCGGACATATCACTCATATCGTCATCATCACTATCGCTTACATCGCGTTCATTATTCGCGCGATAAACCCGAAAGCTATCTGGTATCCGATCATAATTCGGCGTAGACGCCAACGCCGCTACACTGGGTGGCACATTCACGGTTGACGGCGTCGTGTTTGGCGTAAGTGTAGCGTTTGGTGATTTTTTAGGCGACAACGATGCGCTCTGCCTCATCTCCGATAATCGCTTATGGCGTGCATTACGTTTCGGCGATTTGCCAGCGACTGCTCCCATTACTACACCCGCCGCAGAAAGACCCAGGCTAGCGCCGAGTGGCGCTAAATGACTTAGTTTATTGCTTATTGTCATTGCTGAAGAGGCGAGTGTCGCCGCTGCTGCCGCTCCCGCAGCACTCGCTCCGCCGGCTGATGCATTGTTATTATTCGGTGTGGCCGAAGCGGTCAAAGCGGCGGATTCATCTTTAACAGGTGTGGTGATTTCAGATGGACGCTTGAGGGCTGCTTGTGCCTTGCGCGTAAATAACACCGCAGTTCTGTTTGGGCATTAATTTGTAAAAAGAAAGAAAAGAGATATGGAAAGATAGAGAGAGAGCAGAATGATTTTTGGTCAGCAAATGATTATTATCGTTTTTTTTCTTTTTTTTTTTAACAATAAAATGCACTAAATAACAATTATTGTTGATACATATATGCACACGTAGGAGAAAATATCCCAACGGTTTTCCGTTAACATTTTTTAGTGTCACAAATGAGCTTTTTAAAATGCCAAAAAGAATCGAAATTGATCCACTATGGTGTTTTATTATTCCTTGTTAATAACTTTTAAGGACAACGTGAAAAATTTAAATTTGCCTGAGTCTTTTAAAGAAACAACTTCTAGAATCGGCAATTTTCATATTAAAGTTTTAAAACTTTTGAAACGCACTTCTTATAAAAGTTGACGAGCCCAAGTTTTAGTTATAATTAACAAAAAAAAGAGCGTTCTCTACAAATAGTAATAAATTTCAGTTTTGCTTCGTGCTCGGAAAAACATGCTTTAAAAAGTTTAATATACAATAAATATGTACCTCCGATTCACACCCACTGGTGAGGCGCTATTATTGAGACTCTTAATGGGACTACATGGCGGTGTTTGTACTGTCGTTGTTGTGGTTTCCTTAGACTCCTCGCCCATTGTATCATCATCGTCGACCACCATCATATTAGCTGGCAATTTACGAGTACGTTTCGACAAGCTATTTTGTATTTGCGGCTGTTGTTGCTGTGACTGCTGGAGTTGTTGTTGGTGGTGATGATGATGGTGGTGGTGGTGGTGTAAGCTGGAGGTTTGTTTTAATTTCTCTTTTTGGTTTAAAACCTCATTGATCTGTTCATCATCATCATGATCTTCATCGTCGTCGTCATCGTCACTTTGCGAATTGGCGGTAACGTTTGAATGACGCTGTAACGATAATAAAGCAATCAACCAGCATATCCTTTTGAATACAAATAAAATTTTTGTCTTTTTTTTTATACACTTACCGCAGCAATTTTCGCTTTTTGCATGGCCTTGCGCATGCGTGTTATTTCCAAGCGTATTTGCTTGATTTTCTTCGTACGATACACCGGATTTTTGAGTACCTGGGATTTATCTGCTAGTATGAGTAGTTTTTGTACGATTTCCTCGCATGGCTTTGCCTCTAGCAATGTTTTCAATTCGACTTCTATCTCCTGTTCGACATGATCCTCATGCTCCGAACGTGAATTGTCTAACAAACCTTCGCGTTGCAGCTCTTTACGCACTTGTTGGAAAAGTGGTGCGGCTTGGTCACGCATGCGTATACCAGCCCGATAAAAGACGGTGTCCTTATTATTATAAGCAAGACAATTTTGTATCATCAAATCGAAATCGATCTCTAACTGTTCCAGCGTTGCATATTGGCCCTGCTTTAGTTTTGTACGCATCGTGCCTAAGTCCATTGGATGCTTTACTATGTCCAAATAATCAGGCACTTCTACTGTATCAACTGGTTCGCGGAATATTTCACTGGTGTCTTTAGCTTCGAGCGTATCAAGAAGTTTTGTTAGCGCTGACTCAAGCGGATTCACCTGCAACATGACCACCTGTTCACAAATTTTTACAAAGGCCGCCTTAAGTTTTTCACGCTTCCGCACCAATTCACAAAGTAAGCGCGCACGTTCTAAATCCTGACGAAGACACTGCCAATATTTCAACTGCTTGTACAACTCTTTAGTGTCCGGCGAGCCTGATAATTATGAAAAATAATATTTTAAAAATCAAGATAATAAAAAATTATAAATTTTGAATTTGCAGGAAAGTAAAGAATACATTAAATCAAGTAAAAATATACAAGATTTTGTTAGTGTCCGTAAACCTAGGTTCTATCTTCATTAACAGCTTGTTTATAGTTAATCGCTACAACAGTTAGTGACATTATTAGTGCGGTTTAGGAGCAGCTAGGCGAAATAAAATGCAAACCTTCAATACCATTTCGATGGATTACACCATGGTTGTTGCCTTGACTTTGAAGGCGACGTAAAAGCGGCACACCGTTCCTGTACTGACGCTTCAATGTCCAATACGCAATAAGTCTATCTAAGAATTGCTGCTTCTTTTGCATATGCACCATGCCAGAGATCTCCTGTACACGATTGGGTGGTATGGTTGGTATTAGCACAATCGGTGCAGTTGATCGTTTTTTGGCCAACGCTTTTCGTGCTTCCTTCATTTTCATACGCGTATCTTCAACTTCTTTTTGATTAGTTTTTAATTTAGCATCTGCCGGCGTATGAGCATGGCAGTAAGCGTACTTTTGTACATGAACCGATGAGTCGTTGTGGCCGTCTTTAACTGTGTCCATTGTCATGTATAGACCAGCTTGTTGTGCGCATGTTACATGGAAAGCAGCGTAACAGCTGTTGCGCTGACACTGTATGCACGCGCCCAAACCCTTTTCTTTACAAACATAACATGTGAGTCGCCAACGCGCCGCCGGAATGGTTTCGATGGAATCTAAATATAAAAATATATATTAAAATCATTTTTTATTATCAACCATAAATATAAGCATACCAATTGGCTCCAGAAAGACTGTATTTGCAAAACGCACTTCAGGTATCCAAAGTGCGCATACCACATGGGCCCATTGACCACGATCGGTCTGTTTGAAAGCACCTCCGGCATTCGGGCACAATACACAACTCACAGGGGTACTGGGCGATTGCAAACAGCGTCGGCACAACCACTGTCCTTCGGGAATGAACGGTACACCATAGCAATCCTGGTGTACAGCCAGATTGCACATATCGCAGAAAAGTATTACGTTTGTGTTCTGACATTCGCCATCCATGCAAATGCAACACACAGCATCATCGTCGACCTCTACGCCTGTGGGAGTACCATTGGCGGCTGCTTGAAAGTAAGACTCTTTTTCTAATCGATCCATTAACAGTTCCATTGTATCGATGGTCACTGCGTTTAGACCGGCTTTCTCACGTTGTTCATTCATCCATTCTAACCACGCCGAATCTTCTTCATCAACATCATACTCTATTTCACCATCTAACTCCTCAGCTGATTTCTCTATGAATCGATAATATGCGAGTGGGCGGGGAGGCGCATCAGGCACATGGTAGTCTTCGATTTCACGATAATGCGCTTCAGGCACTTTTACACGCGCCCATGAAGCATTTTCTTCTAGTGGAGGAGCATCGGCATTCAAAATACAACGCCGCGCAACTAACTCTGCATACTCTTCACCTTCAATAAATGGCAACGGATCATCAATTGCTAAGCGGACACTTTTACCGTCAATATTAAACTGTACTGTTTGTTCTTCTTCATTGTAACTAACTAATGATTCGGGATTTGCCACCTGATGACCACCACCGTTGGCGCCGTTGTCATCACCAGCACCCTTCGGTGTTTTCGGCGTTGAGTGATGAGCTTTACGCGCTTTTTTGCGGTTCGGTGTTATAATTGGTGTTATTGGTTGTGGATTGTCGTGATCATAGTTAACCAAATGATATTGTAGTCCCACCACAGTTTTGTAGCTACGATCGCACTTAGCCACTGGACACGAGTACGGCGGTTGTGCTTGCTGCAGCTTCACATTCTTGCAATACTCGATTGCATCAAAATCGAGTCCCATTGTAAGTATATTTGGATGTTATTTATGATTCTGCTAGGTGCTATTGCAAAAATATATCGCTATATTTGCATTTTTTATGCAAAAATTTCGCGTGCAACTATATTTCTGTAAGTTTTTCTCTTAATTTACGCTTCGTTTTGTTTCTTCTGATTCACACGCAAATTCGCTGTCATACTACAAATGGCGCAAAGTGACAGCTGTTGCAGTCAGAGAATGTCAAAATTATAAGAAAACAGCACGCATAAAGAAACCCGGATAAATGTTGTTGTAAAATGGATATTGATGAAAACGTGCAAATAAAATTAAAACACTCCCATTTACACATGCAAAATTTAAAATTTTATTAAAAATATATTTTTTAACTAAACGCTTTAGTCCACAAATCGCGTTTAAAGCCACGGATGCCCTAACAAAGTGGAAGCGCACAAGAAACATCAAGCATTCAAATCAAAACTAGCACTGCCATACTGAATTTTTTTTTTTTCAAAATTTTAATTTTTTTGTTAGGGGTATTCCTTAATTTAAAAAAAATTGTTAAAATAAAGTCAAATACACTTAAATGACTTGGTGTTACAAACATTCTAAAAAGTTGTTAGAAAATTCACTAGCCTTTTTACTTCGATATGCAATTTTAAAACTGATTATGTAACTATTTCAGATAGATCATCTCCGTTTGAAATTCCAGTCATAAGCAACGTAAGCGCCAGCGCAATGCCAAAAGTGAATTGCTAATCTTAGATCCCATTTATTATCTTACTTCCTTCCTCCACGGATTAAAATGGAAAACTTTAACTAAGTTCAATAATTACTTAATGTAATCTTTTAAGCTTTTCAACATAAAAAAGACTGGCATAGTTGGAAATGACATGCAACGCGGCTTAAAGGTACAAACCCAATGCCGGCTGGCTTTACTTACTTTGCTGTGAGAACTGCAAAATATAGAAAGAATTTTAGGTCGTGTAGATTAGATTTATCTCTGTAAAGATATTGTAAACTACATTGGTAGAAATGTACTAATTTCTACATTTCCAAAATTTTGTACAAATACCTCGGTATGAAGATTAATAAAATATAACTGATCAAAGAACTGAAGGCCCTAACCAATCGACGCGATTTACCTTCGTTTAATGGGCTAAACATCGTTTGGCAAAAAGAGCATTTTACCAAAAAAAAAAATCATATTTTTCGTTACAAATTAGGAAATCTAACAATTGCTTATTTCTCCATATTTATTTGTTTATTATAAATATAATCCTTATAATAATTCATAAAAAGTAATCTACATTCTTCATCAACAACATCAAGTGCTTTCACCATATCGTTTAACTCTAATTGGGTACATTGGTATTTATTCATAGCTATTAAATCCCACAATACACTCATTATAGCTACATATTCAAGCGATTGTTGGCCCCATTTATCTGCAGTAACGCTCATTGCAAACTTCAGAATATTTACAAATCTGCAAAACTCCAGATCTGTGGTCTCGACGCTACCTGAAATAAAAAAGTAAAATAAAAATTACTATATAAATAAAACAAAAATTGTATAGCACCTTTTTACCAGTTACCTTTATAGCATTCAATAAGTAAATTCACCAAATCGCTTGCCATTTGTAACTTTAATGAGTGGAACCCCAATAGAATGCCATCAGCCTTATCATAAAGTTTTAAAAGCTCCAAACGATTTTCTTTGCTATTAGAATGTTGAAGTAAACTTTTAAATCTAAAATACCATTCAATGTTCTGTTTCGTTGAGCATATCGAGCAAATTATTCCATCCCTAAGACCAGTCTCATCGTCTTCTGATCGATTCCACCAATGGAGCGTTATATGTAAATCCTCTTTGTCAGGCGTGGGTACAAATTTTTCACCACATTTTGGATTTTGACATTTATATAAATGATATTCTAGCTAAAAACTATAAAGATTACTATGAAATTGCTATATTAAAAAAAAAAAACTCTTACGTAAGCCGCATCAGGATCACTCTGCTGACAATGCACGCACTCGCAATTAAAATGATACATTTCTTTCAATAAATCCCTTCGAACAACACTCATCGAGTTTCGATAGGTCAAAGTATAACAATTATATATTTCATCACCCTCTTCAATATCCCTATCAGCCAAAGCAGAGAAATTCCTTCCTGAGAATCTTGGACGTATAGTGGGGTTACAGGCATGATTCAACATACTAAGATATGGTATATTTGCTGCAGATACTTCTCCAACCTCACCAAGGACGTGCAACATACCCTGACGTAGATGAAAAGGCTTCGTCCACATATTAGGCAATAAAAGAAATCCATACTTAACTGTGGAGGATCTTATATCGTAACAAGTGGGTGCGATAGAGGAACATGTATGCGCATTTGAAATGGATTGGCCAATGTGACGCAATATTAAAGCACCTTTAAATTAAATAAAGATTAATAAATTAAACTTTTTTAAAATATAACACAATAACTTACTTATGAGCGACTCCCAGTCGCTCTGCTTAATTTTACTTTTACTGGTATTATGAAAAAAGGGTGTGTACTCTTTTAGATATACAGCTAATAGATCAGCAATAACAGCAAACCATATTTTATTGGACAAGGACATTTTTTGGAAATGCGAAACCAATCGTAGACTTTTAACATAGTTCACTTCAGTTTTAGTGTTTAAGTGGCTTGTTTCGGTTGTTAGCTCTTTCCACACGTTTTTTATATCACTTTCATGAGCTAATATTGGCGAAATTTGTGGAAATTCCTCCAACAATATCCTTAAAGCTAAATGTGAAATGCCTATTTGTTCAAATAATCCAAGGCAATATCCTACGCATTCATTTTGGTGAACTTTTGCTTGATCTTCTCGACACTTTAGGGAACAGTAAATAACTTTACCATTACATGCATGACACGGTATGGGAATGATAAATACAGATCCGCATTGCTGGCATATTTGTGTGCCCTCCACTGGTACAAAAGCACTGATTCGTTCATGAAAAATTATTTCTCCCGATTTAATATCTCGCTTAGCAACCACGTATCTTCCGCGAGTGGCATCTTTTGAGTCTACTCTGCTAACGTGTAAGAGAAAGCAACCCGTTAATTCTTATCTTTTTACCTTTTAACGTGGTTACTTACAATTCTGTAGTTTCAGTAAGTGACATATCCTCCTTGTCATTGTCTTGTGTTTCCTTAATAATTTCGTTTGCTATAGAGCTTAATCCTTTCTGCAATTCATCTACTCTTTGCTTATAGCTTTCATTTAAGCCACACTTTTCTAATTCGGTTAGATGTAATTCTAATTTTTTAGCATCTTGCAAATAATAGACGCAAAATGCCTGACGTATTTTAATTTTATGTATAAGTCTCATTGGGTATTGATTTGTTTCAAGTGCACATATGCAATCATCATATGCCTGTCTATAGTACCCCAATTCTTGCAACACCATTGCTCTATTAGCAAAAGCTAAAGCCAACGCTTCCGTATAAGGCGCTGCTGCGAATATAGCTAGGGTATATTGTTGTCCTGCCTTGAACATATTTTCAGTTTTGCTTGGCGATTTTGAGCAGTAAAAAACATTTCCTTCTTCGCGTAGTCGATTAGATTTTTTAGTAGCAGACTCTTTGGAATTTAGATTTATTTTGTATTCATCACTTAAACCTTTCAGCCATGCTGCAGACATTTGGCGTCTCAGTGGCCAGTTTTCATCTTTTTTTATGGCTAAAATTGTTTCCAGTTCGCATTCATAGTCTAAAATTTGCGTATACGCAGTTTGATACTCCAGTAATTCTGACAGCTTGAATTTTTCCATAACCGACTCTTGAACTAACGGCACCAGAACACTGAAAACTAAATATCGTAAAAATAGATTTGAAAGGATCTAATGAGACAAGAAAAATATCCAAATCTTACTCCAATGGTAAACAGATGAATCGCAAATCACCTCCTACAAGGATATGGATTCAGTTCGAATACCAAAATGATTTCTTAAAACAGGTGATTGAATTCAAATGTGCGAATCGATTCTAAATATCAACAATCTTTGTACCTGTTATCGACCAGCTTGCCACTCCAAAAATAACTCTATTCCACTTCTTTTCAATAAAACTCTAAAGAAAAATTGAAGTAAAATCAATTTTGGGACGGAAAAACTCATCAACAAAATATGGAGGACAAAATGTATCAAAAAATGGAGTCTTCTTTTTTTCATGTCCAACGCTGTAGGATTTTTTATCACGCTAAAAATACTCTGCGAGTTAATTCTGGTTGTAGGAAGCACTGTTATGCACTCAAGTTTTAAATTTAATGAGGAAATTTTGATTTCAAGTAACCTTTCACCTGAAATTCTGAAAATCGAACAAAATTTCTTGAAATAACAAAGATATGAAATGATAAAAAGTGAAAACAGTTGCCAAAACGCTAACAATAGTCACTAATTTTTATATAATTTACGATATCATAGAACCCCAATAGGATACTCTGATCTATATTTCGTCTAGGATACATGTATGAAACTTAACACAAATTTACAAATTCCTACAAATAATTTAATTTGAATTTCAGTTTTGTTGGTATACTGGTGGTATTCGAAAACCAACACCACCGTGTTTTACTGAAATTGTATTACTAAAAAATTGTATATAAGTTGATGAATTTAATAGGGTAAAGAAATCCAAATATGTGTTTGAGAATAAAAAAGTATACCATTAACTTAATTTTTGACTATAGCTAATGTAAGGGTGTTACACATTTCGGCAATAACAATTTCAGTAGATTTTTCAGAAGTGAAGAATCGATTACAATCACTAAAAAAACACACCTCTTAAAACCAGTTTTATTGTGTCATCTTTGTTATTGTATTAAAAAATATTGTAATCTTAGTTTTTTCTTGTTTTTCTTTAACGAAGAAATTATAACTTACCTTTAACCAAATCTTCAAACATAAAGGTCCTATTATGGACTTACAACAATTGGAAGAAGACGCCCGACAAGCCGCCTTGAAAGATATTAAAAATATGCTTCAACGGCCAGGTCAACTAGAAAAGGTTGATCAATTTCGGCATCGAGTAGCTCGAAAAAAAGCTTCAGTTGAGGCACTCTTGAAGACAGGGATGCAAAATCAATTAGATGGTGTACGAGTTGGCTTGAAGCAATTAGAAACGTGTTTGCAGGACGTAAGAGAAGTTCGCCAGAGAATGCGGGAAGTAGATCGATTATTAGAGGGAGTACCAGATATCTATGACGCACTAGAAGTTGTACGTGAAGAAAATACAAAGCATTCACAATATGCCACTGCTATGGAAAATCTCAAACACATTTTTAATGTGGAAGCCAGTGTTACCAAGACGATGACTCTTATTGATGAAGATAAACTATTGAATGCACACCAGTGTCTGGCTGATTTAGAGAATTCTCGAGATGATTTATTATATGAGTTGCATAAACAGCCGAAGCAACATGCCTCTGATAAAATTACATTGAAACGGCATTTTGAGACAGTAGATACCGTATCTCAAGCACTGGAAAAGAAACTACGACTCATACTTAGTCGCACTCTAAATACCGTTCGAAAGGAACCTACTGTAATAGTGACAGCATTGCGAATTATTGAACGGGAAGAAAAGAATGACCAATTTGCTTTGCAACAACAAAAAGTTACGGGTTTCCTACCACCAGGTCGTCCCAAGAAGTGGCGTGCCATGGCCTTGAATATGTTGCAAGAAGCAGTGGTGACGCGTATTGAAGGCTCAAAGTTAGAAGAACGTGCTGATAATAAAATGTGGTTAGTGCGGGATCTTGAAATTTTACGTCAGATAATTTTGGAAGATTTAAGAGTTGTGAAATCATTATGTGTACCATGTTTTCCACCTCATTATAACATATTCAATGAATATGTAAAAATGTATCACGAGGGTCTCTCCTCATATGTAAGAAATATTTGTTATTCGCCATTAGCCATATAATAAAAATATACTAATCTATTTTTTTTTTTTTTTGTTTTAGCTCGATAATATTGCAAAATCTGGTCTTGAGGGTAATGAATACGTTTCGATGCTTTCGTGGGTTATGAACACATATCCTGGAGTCGAATTGATGTCACATCCGGATCTAAGAGTGGATATACAACAAGTAGTTGGGCCATTATTACGGCCGGAACATCTGAAATCATTGGAAGACGAGTATTTGCGAAATATGCAACGAAACTACCAAGAATGGATGACTAAAACGGCGGAAACAGAAAAGCAAGAATGGTTTTCTGATCAACCACCAGAACAAGAGCAATACTACCACACCTCTGCACCAGTTATCATATTTCAGATGATTGATCAACATTTGCAAGTCACCAATACAATACACTCTGAATTGACATTTAAGGCTCTAGTAATGAGCATACAGCAAGTAGAAGTTTTCGGGCAGTCTTATTTGAAAAATGTTATTGAACTGAAGGAACATCACTTTCGTAATCGTGATCAAATCAAATATTTTACTCACTACATAATCACGATTGTTAACAATAGTCAGCAAATGGTTGAATTGGCTCAACAAATGAAACAATTGTATTGGCCGAAATCTCGCACTGAACATTATGAAGATTTTGAAAAACTACTAAATACATTCCAACGCATAAGAGCGCATGCTACTAGTTACTTATTGGAGGAAGCTTTCCTTGATATGGAATGTCATTTTAATGATTTATTTACATTGAAGTGGTTGGGTTCTACTATCTCCGTTGACACTATATGTGTAACATTATTGGATTATTTTCAGGTAAATAGGTGTTATTTGATTATTTCTCTTATGTAAATTTTTATTTATAAATTACATCATATTTGTCTTCATATAGGACTATAAGCACTTGCGTCCCAACAATTTTGAAATGGTTATCAATGAAGCGCAAAAGCTACTAGCTAAACGATACATACGAGCCTTGCTCTCCAAACGCATATCGAAATCAAGGAGCGAATGCGAAGCAATTACTACGAAAATTAATCAGGAAGCGAAACGTTTTAAGCAGTGCTTCGAAAAAATCGCACCCAACTTGGCAATGAGTGATTCTCCATTAGATTTGATATCAACACTCTCAGCACTACTATCCAGTGATATTGAATTGCTGGTGCTAGACCTTCACACGCTGCTGGGTAATTATCCATCTTTAAGTGAAGATCACATTGTACGATTATTCTATTTGCGTAATGACGTGAAAGCCAGCGAAGTTCGCGAGAAGGTACAAGACGCAGCAAAATCTAAAAAAGCAATGGTTAGTATTGCCAAGCAGGATTGCATATTTAAGGAGATTGTTTTTAATGATAAATTGTGGTAAATAAAACAATATTATTGAATACATTTTGCAATTTATTTCACTTATATGTACACATCTATATACTACATATGAACATACTTATATTAAAAGAATTGTTTTGAACAAATCAAATCCCTTAGTTTCTATACGTATTGTATGTATTTTCAATTTAACATATGATAACAAATAACAGTTGTATTCGGGTTGGTAATTCTATAATTCTGCAATCTAATCACATATAAATACATACGTATAAATAGGCGCCTTATAACGGTTGCGATGCTACAGTTTTTGATAAGCCGCCTAGGAACGACTGATGGATTTTTATGAAGATCTTTTATTTAATGACAGAATGAGAAAACCACTCAAAATAATTGATGTTTTTTTTACGAGACCGTCTTCAATTCCAAAACAACTAAGAAACTTCACCTTTAAGCGTCCCAAGTTTTTATAGAAGCTTTTATTTTCTATAATTTTGGAAATTACTCATTCAAACTCACGACTCTGCTTACTGTTTTAGCTAAACAAGAGGTTGACCTACTCTAAAGTGAAATTTAAATGTTTAGCTACGCTACTAGTTCCATATCAAGATTATATCAGCTTTGAAAAACTTATTTTGGAAATACCATCTACATATAACCATCTTAAATTACTCAATTAATTTAGCATTTGTTTTACGTGGCAACTCTAAGAATTTTATGAGGAAAATTATGAAGTGTGAGCTTTCGTATTCTCGCTGGATGAGACAAGGAAATTGTCGTGAACAGAAAAATAAACTCTTTAGCTGCGAAAAAAATTTACTATAACTGTTGAAATCGAACTAATTAAAAAACTTTGTATAGTAATTTGGGAAGTGTACATAATTTTAGGTTGAAACGAAATATAAAAGATATATGTGAGCGCAATTTGGTGAAATTATTACGTGTATTGATGAGGTGTTGGTGTACGTGAAAAAATGTGCTGATTGACGAAATCGGAACAGGGGCAACTAAAAATTTTGATACTTATAATAATAGTATGGTATAGTTGCTGGTATTAGCAGATGGAGATAAATTTAATGCTCGGATTGGAGTATAAGTGAATTTAATTTTTGGCCCCTTATTGAAAGGGGCCAAAATAAAGTAAAGGTAGAAACTGTAAATTTAGGGCTCCTCAACGTACCTATCTAATCAGCAAATAAGGAAAAAAGACGAAAGAAAAGACAATAGCAACGAGATAAAAAAATAAAAGAAATCAACCGATAAGGTGAATAATAGGAGGCAGTTTGAAGTGCCTGTTCAGTGTGAAGCGATTTCAAACTGTCAAAAGTGCTGCCAGGAATTGTTTTCTTTTTTTATTTTCTACAAAAATAAACTAGAAAGTTTGAAACTTGATAAATCAAAACAGAAAAAAACAAAATTTACAAACGACGACTATTGAAGGCCAAATCTGCTGCGCAATTTCTATTACTAAATAAAGCAAAATATATACTAGTTAATAAATATATCATCGATACGAAAACGGGGAAAGAGAAAAGAAATTGTCAACGTCATTCTCCCAATATCGCCTAATTTTATATTCTCTATAAAAAAGAGCGAACGAAATTTCGTTACTTCGTTGCAATTGTCATTCGATTTACAATTGTGCGAAATTATCATTTTTATTTCTTTTTTAATTTCGTTTTGTACATTGGCCACTCGCGTGTGCGTGTGTGTGTGATCATATTCTTCGGAAAGCTTCATTCAGTGCTGTCACTGTCCTTGAAGCTAACTCCCAAGAAGAGATCCCACATCGTGTGCCGTTGCCGTACAATCTTTGAATGGGACACCAGCTATGAACCAACTGAAATTTACGCTAGCGCAGATTGGTATTTTGGTCAAACAACTGAACAAGAAAAATTTTGCTGAAACCAGCGAGAGCATAAATCAGGTAATATGTTTTCTATAAACTATGCGTAGGTTTCAGAAAGTGTGTGCAAAGGTCTTGTTTGTGAACGTATTTACTTACCTTGATATGTATTTACTTATGCTAGTATCCGCCAAACGTGTGAACACTTGAGGTTATTGTATATTCAACAATGTTGTTAACATACGTGATCACATATTCATACATCAGCAAAATTGACTTTGGTTAGGGTGAAGGCAATGTTGATAATTATGGCAACTAAGGTGTATCATCATTGGCTCATCACCTTTTACCACTTGATCGAATAACCCCCTGGTCCCTTTTCCAACTCTTCGTTTTTTTTTTTTTACAATTTTTTTTATCTTGCCAACAATAAACAAGAAAAATGTTAAATTACTGAACATACCCAAAACAAGGTTGCCATTTACGTATTTATTTACGCTGCCACCTGTAGTGATTTTGAAATTTTGTTTAAGCTTAACTTACGCCATGTATTTAGATAAATAATGAAATTTTTCAGATACAACGTTTGAGTTGAATTCATGTTATTATAAGAAGAAACGCAGATACCAATACAACTTAAAAAATTTTTAAATCTTGTATATTACGTGCTTTGACTTTAAGCTGAGTTGTATTTTTTTATGTTCGGTTTCTTACTTTGATTGCAAATTCTATGGATTTGATTTTTTGGATCTTAAACAAAAACGAACAATTGAAGTGAAAAAGGTACATTGGATCGGTTTTGGCGGATTCCGTTTATCAGGCAAACTTGAAAAAGTAACGCAAAGCAAAAATAGTAGTGTTTACTATAAGATCCGTGGCACATATGAACACATTGTTTATATAACCATTTATGCGAACGCAGTGCTAGTGACAATTCATGCCTATTAAACAAACTCTGTCATTGAACAGAGAAAATATTACTTTCGTCAAGTTTATACTTCCACTCGTTTCTCCTCGCTAATCCAATCATTTTTCGCCGACGCCATTACAGTTTGCAAAGAAAATTCCTTTTCGGTGGATTTGTGAATTTGTGACAATTGTAATCTTGATTATTGATATAAAGAATATAAGAAAATGGCTGAAAATAGAAGCAAATTAGAGCCCTAACAATGGGCTTTGTAAATTTTGTATTGAACTGACTGCAAAATAGTTAAAACATGTTTTAAAAGCATTGAAGTAGTTCACGTAGTTTTCTTTTAGATTTTTTTTTCATTTTTAATTGATATTGGTCGCTTTCATCGTCGTATTCGCTCCGTTGTCGCCTTATATGCTTGTTTTATTTCGTCATATACGCACAATTTTATTTGCGAAATTCGGTTGTGTATGTGAAAAAGCGATACGAACGATTTCAAATATATAGTATTAAAAAAATATATATTCAACATAAATAGTGATAAGTGCTACAATTTTAAAAGAAAAACTTTCCATTCGAACTTTTGAATTATATCCATATATCAATTTTGGATCAGATACATAAGAGCTGTGATTGCATTTTATATCTATAATATAAAACCTTGAGGATTAAGCAACGAAAAGGATCTTGGTAATTTTATGTGAAGTGCAAATTTTGTATTTTTTTTTGAATATGTATATTTTCTTTGAAGAGAAAAAAGTATAGTTTTCCAGCACCAGTGCGTTGATTCGTGGAAAGACGTATCGTTTGCTGGAGTTAAAATGAGAAAGCTATACACAAATTTTTGTCATACAAGTGGGCGATTTATTGTACATGTGGCTGTCCCTTTTTTTGTTTCGTTAAATTTTTTGCTTGTTGCCTCTCTTGTGGTCCCCGTACTTCCATTAGAAAGTGCAGATGCGAAAAGGTTACAATGTTTCAAAATGGCAATACAAGGGATTGCTGGACTCCTTGGAGTTCTTTATATTTATAGTGTTCCAGATATAAATAACTTTTATGTTTTATTTTTTACATGTTATTACCAAAATAAATTAATTAAAAAATCACTTTTTTTGGTCATACAAATATGTAGAACTATTTTGCAAGGCATTTATGTGTTCTCTCAAGATTGATTAATAATATTGTATAAACATATTAGTGATATTTCTGCTAATTACACATTTTTTTTTACTTTGTTATGTAGTATATCAAAGAGATTGGCTTCGAAGCGGACCGCCATTGTTTGCGCTGCCTTTTCTCTGTGATCAATTTTACTGATACGACGCCAACGATCCCGAATTCGAATTTCATAGTACAAGCACAAGCTAACTTACTTGGCGCTCAGTTAGAAAGGCAACTGACAAGAGCGTCCGTCATATCGAATATTTGCTTTGCTGTTGACCATTGCTTTCCTCAACAAAAGGTATGCTTTATATGCAAATAAATAAAACAAAAAAATATTATATACATACTTATAGTTGAATTGTTTATGTACATATTTTGTATACAAATTTTTTTTTCTGTTAGACTCTTAAACCGACACCACAACTTATTGCACAAATAACTAAGTTAACTGGAATTAGTCAACTTTGTGAAGTTGTACTGTCATTAGCATTAACTCATTCATCACAATCTGATTTACGTCGATATTCTCTGGAGCATTTAAAACGATCGTTTACCGAGCTTATTGAATCATACTTGGAAAATAACGAAAATAGCGCAGTTGTAAAAAACAATTTACGAGACGTATCTGTTGATGTACTGCAATTGCTAATCGTTTGCTTAGAGGACTTCATAAGCGAAGAACTTAAGGATAAGTTTTTGCATTTATTGCGTGAACAATTTCCACTTGAACGAGTACCGATCATACTAGCACCACATTTATATCGTCAAATTCCCCAGTTTGATAATACGGTTATATGTGGTGACCCGACAGAAGAAGGAAACGGAAAAGCTTTTGATAAACAGAATACCAATTCGAACGCTGATGGAGGTATTATTGGTCAGCATTTGACGGAAATTGGTATTGAAGATATTTATGACAACTTATGCGAGACAATATTTACTACACAGGTAGTCTTCCTTTAAATTCATACAGTTTGATTGTAGAAATATAAATTTTATGGGGTTTTAGGTGAATAATAATATTATGGACACATCCTGGATTAATTTAATCCTAGAGATTGGTTACGAATTCACATCGAGCGTTGAAGAATGTAAGAATCATCTACGTTGTGGTTCGCGCGAGCCTCAAGCACAGGATGTGGCCAAAATCATTGGTCTTATGTGCCGTAGGCACTCCTCCTTACTCGACTGCAATGTGAACTTAGGAACACCGGCCAATTTTTGGCCTGGCCAGCCTGGTTCTGGTCCTGGTGGTGTACAACAACAACAGCAACAAAATGTGGCCAATAACAATGACGGCAGCAACGTTGCGGGCAGTGGCGTTGATAAAACAGCCAATGTAAATGATAAAAAAGACAAAGGTAATGCGGGTACAAGTAGCACAGAGACGACACAGGCATGGAAACCAGATGTGTTTGTGCAGGCTCTAAAAGAGATTGTACCACAACTGAATTGGAAAGAAGTATGCTTGGGTAAGTTTACTCTCCAGTTATTACAAAATTTTAACAAATCATAAAACAGTACTAAAACGTGAAATATCTTTCTTTTTTTTTTGGTTTGTTTTGTTTTGTAGAACTAGATCATCAAGACTTCATACTCAAGGATCGTATTGGCCTTGACTTACTTTTGACCATATTTCGTTTGGGCACACAATCTGCTCTGTTCCCCCATCCAGAATGCATATATCGACACTGGCAGAACGTAAACGGACAGCTATCGCTTATAGCGGTTATGCTAAAAAATCCGGATTTGTTCTCATTTGCGGATTACATTTTTACCGCTGCCCCCGTAGAAATGCTGAAAACGCCACCAGACAGCGAAAACAAAGAGGTGTGCGCATGGAAGTCCTTACATTTAGTTGAAGTTTTATTATATATAGCCGATCAGGGTTACTACCCACAAGTGATAGAATTATTCAAATTCCCAGCACAACATTGCCCAGATGTTTTATTTCTATCACTTTTACACATAAATCCGCCAATTACTGCGTTACGACAGGAACTTTTTAGTCAACTTATACCAGCGTTCTTAACAAATCATCCCAATTCGGGTGTAATACTTTTGAATGCATGGAATTCAGCAAATTTTGGAGTTATATTACGACCTATCATTATGCAGGCCATGTCGGAATGGTATCAACGTGGCACCGAATATGATCAAGTTAAGCTATCGCGCATTCTTGATGTAGCACAGGATTTGAAAGCACTATCCACATTGCTTAATGAGCGTTCATTTTTGTTTGTCATCGATTTGGCATGCCTGGCGTCGCGTCGGGAATACTTAAAGCTTGAAAAATGGCTCAGTGATAAGATACGAGAACATGGTGAGCCCTTTATACAGGCAATCTTGAAGTGCTTACAACGTCGTTGCCCACAAATTACAAATGCCAAAATACCAGAAAACCAATTACCATCAAAGCAAGCCCAACTACCACCAGAAACAGTAAATACTATGTTGCAATGTTTACAAGCTTGCATAGGTAATGTACCACCAGAAATAGCCGATCTTATAATGCAAATGACAGCCAATTGTTCGATTATGGCAAATAAGGCGAGAGCTGCAGCACCACCCTTAGTGCCACAATTGCAGGGTGTTATGCGTGGCCATCGCGGCATGGATATGGGCGGCGGGGTGTCGGGTGTGCCGCCACCACCTTTCTCTGCCAATTTAAATGCACAACAAATGTTTGGCCCAACAATGGATACTCTGTCGAATTTAACAACAAATATAGCTAATTTAAATCTTGGTGGACCGAATGGGGCCTTCAATTTTGGAAACGTTTTGGGTAAGTCAATTAAAAAAAAAAATTGTTATATATATACTATGTTTTTCATATTTAATTCAAAGAAGTTTGTTGGTAAAAAATCGAAATTTAAACCTACATGCTAGATTTCTTGAAACATTTTGGTTTGAAATGGTGTATATTTTCCTCTTTATACCTTCTGGAATAAAATAAATCACTAGATGACTTTAACGTTTGATCTAGCTCCTTTGGAGAATTCATTTACCCGTAACTTGTTTCTCGCTCACTTTATGAATTGCTTTTCAAGACCATGCTTAAAAAGATCAAAACATGGTTTACAATGTCATAGTTTTAGAACATATGGAAACGTTATTCCTGTTGAAAAGATAAGTAAAAAACAAAAGTTAGATAAATATCAGGTTAGAGTCAGTCGAAAGTACTGATTTCGAAAACTTTTCTGCATTACGAGTTATAAAACAATATTAGTAATTATTGAATTGTTCATGTCGATGCTTGAGCATAAAATAACTAGTAGACCGTTGTGAATACACCTCATATTATTATTATTATTTGCCTCAGTAATGTAAAAAAAAATGAAAGAAAATACACCACACCGACGTCGAAGTTGTTGAGCTGATGAAGCTTTAAGAGAGTTACCAAGTATACATATTTCTACAAACTTCTTATGTTGGCGTAATTGAAAAACTAATTCATAGGTAATTTGGCGTCTACACCAGCTTCTCCGTCACGTCTTATGAATCCGGCTGCCAGTCCATATCCATTGAACGCAATGCAAATACCACCACCAAATGTTGGCAATTTGGCAAGAATGCCACCAACAGCACCACAACCGACTCCTACACCACCAAATCCAATCAATCCTGGTATGGCTGATCTACAGGGACCCGTTTCCAAAGAAGTCGAAGATGAGGCAAATTCCTATTTCCAACGTATCTACAATCATCCACCACATCCAACACTCTCAATTGACGAAGTATTGGACATACTACAAAGATTCAAAGATTCAAATATACGTCGCGAACAGGAAGTGTATCAATGTATGTTGCGTAATCTATTCGAGGAATATCGTTTCTTTCCACACTACCCTGAAAAGGAGTTACAAATCACCGCACAACTCTTTGGTGGTATTATAGAGCGAAACTTGGTGCCATCGTGTGTGGCCTTGGGTCTAGCATTACGTTGTGTTTTAGATGCGTTACGCAAACAAGATTCGAAGATGTATAATTTCGGCATAACAGCATTGGATCGTTTCAAGAATCGTCTACACTCATACAATAAATACTGTGAATATATACGTTCCATTGCACATTTCCATGAATTTCCTCCACATTTGATACAATATGTGGAATGCGGCTATCTACAACAGGAGCCACCACCGGCCAAAATACAAATGCTTATGTCAGGCAGTGGGCAACAAGCGCCGCCTGATTCAATTTATCGCAGCAATTCTGTAACTGGTGAGTTCTTTGACAAAAAAATACCTATACTTGTATAAATATTTTTTATGTGCTGCTTTGTTCAGTACCTATGTAACGAATACTAATTAATTCTCCATGGAATTAATACTAAAATAGTGTAGGGAGCATCATAGTTACCTAATTATGTTTATTAATTTCATTTATATATTTATTTTATTATTTGTAAATATATTTTATGTTTATTTTACGTTTTTTATATTTTTTATATTTGTTTTATAATATTTAAATTTACTTCATAATTTATATGTTTTTTTTTATATTTTTATGTATGCCTTATATTTTTTATATTTATTTTATAATTTTTCTATCTTTTATATTTATTTATTTTTTTATATCTATTTTATATTTTTTATATATATTTTAAGTTTTTTATATTTTTTTATTTTTTTGATATTTTTTATAATTTTTAATTTATTTTATATTTTTTATATTTATTTCAAATTTCTACATTTAATTATTTTATATTTTTATACGCATTTTTTGGTTTAATTTATAATTTTTATATTTTTTATAATTATTTTATATTTTTTTTTTTACATATTTTATGTCTTATTCTATATTTTTTTTTTTGATATTTTTTATAATTTTTAATTTATTTTATATTTATTTTAAATTTTTTGTATTCATTTAATATTTATATTTTTTCATTTTATAGTTTTTATATTTATTTTATAATTTTTATATATTTTTTGAATTTTTATATATTTTATTTTTTATATTCTTTTTATTTTTTATATTCTTTTTATTTTTATTTATTTATTTTTTTTTATTTATTTATTTTTTATTTATTTATTTTTTATTTATTTTTTTTTTTTAAATATTTTTTACTTATTTTTTTATTTATTTTACATTTCTCATATTTTTTGTATCGATTGTAAAACTTTCAAACTTTGAATTCTCGGTCCATCGTATCTACTTGAATTTCTATGAAGTCGGGTTGAACTAATTAAGATTTTGTATCATGACGCGACCGTCTACAGGCCGTCGTCGCGCTAGTGAACATATAAATGCATTTGAAAACTGATGAATAAACCAACGAAAGTGGATTAAATGGCGTAGACCCCCGTCAAGTCTCCGTCTTGCCGATACGTGATACGATAACCGGTTTGAAATTTCTTTTAGTGATCATGCCGCGTCGGGCCCGAAGAAATGCGGAAGCTATTTTTGCAGGCTTTTCACAATTTACCCTTCATAGTTAGAACTAAGTTAAACGCTGTAAGCAATGGATGTTGAAACCTGAATCGGTATACTACCACACCAAAGTCCTCAACCTCCCTTTGCCCACATCTGGTCTACTTACATCCCTTACCCAAGTAGCGAAAGCATTAAAGGTCTTGATGCGCTCGTCTGTCACTCACTAACTACCCTTGGCTAGATAAAATCCGGGTAAAATCTGGCCCGAACCCGAAATAGCTCGTTTCTTGAACTTTCCTTTAGATGATCTCGGTAGCTTAGACCATCTAGCCTAAGCGGGGATGGAAAAGCAGCTACAACAACAACAACAAATTAATAAACTCCCAGATAACTCTTGACAACAAACACAACCGACCTTGCGCGCACACACTCTTCGTCAGTCGATGCAGGTATTCACGAATTCACACTTTACCTCCCGGTTTGGGGAGATTTCCAGGTCAAATTTCAGAATTCAAGAAAATTTGAGCGTTGCCGGAACAAAGTGTCTTCTTCTTTCATGCCAATGACTGCTCCAAGATTGTTACTCCCATCTTACAGGTCGGTCGGTTAACCGGTCATAAATTATGCTGACTGGAAGTTGATGGTCGGAACATTCTACCGACAGATCTTTAACGATGTTTGGGCGATGTACCCTCTTCGAGTTCCTTCGAAATAAAAAACCACTCGTTTATTCGATTTTATATATTGGTACATATCCAAAGTGTGTCCAGCATACAAGGGCCTCTACACTACATTAATCCCCCTTAACATATACTCAAGGTAGTTTCTTTAATTTAATTAGGCGGTTTTTCTAAATGTATTCTCCACAGTACCTTCGTTTCCATTTGGAAAGAAAATTACGGCTCATTATAATTCTTCAGACAAAACTCTCCCCAGGCTTTAAGGACATTAGAATTTAAGTTCGGTACCTCCGTACCTCATAACATATATTCTTATAAAATAAAAATTATGCGAAATTAAATTTAATGTTCCCCATATTCCCGTATAATTCTCTTAAAAGGAAATCTAGTGACAACACCAACCCAACAAAAGCCAATGGTTGTTGCCCAGTCTATTCATGCATCGCGTATGAAGTCCATTGCTACAGCAACAAACATTGATACGCTTTTGGTTGCCAATCAGGAGGAGAAAGTCACTATACCGCCCGAACCAGTACAGGACAAAACCGCATTCATATTCAACAATTTAAGTCAACTGAATATACCGCAAAAATGTGAAGAGATCAAAGAGATTATGACCAAGGAATACTGGCCATGGCTGGCACAATATTTGGTGTTGAAGCGTGCCTCGTTGGAATTCAACTTTCATTCATTGTATTTCAATTTCTTGGAAGCATTGAAGAACACAGAAATCAATAAATATGTAACGAAGGAGACTTTACGTAATATCAAAGTTTTGCTACGTTCCGACAAGGGTGTGGTGAATTTCTCCGATCGTAGTCTTCTGAAGAATCTTGGCCATTGGTTGGGCATGATGACATTGGGACGTAATAAGCCAATTTTACAAATTGAATTAGATTTGAAAACACTCTTGGCTGAGGCATATCATAAGGGCCAACAGGAATTACTTTTTGTTGTGCCATTTGTGGCCAAAATTTTGGAATCGTCAAACAAGTCTAAGGTTTTCAAAACGCCAAATCCCTGGACAATGGCTATTATGAATGTGCTTGGTGAATTGCATCAGGAGCCTGAATTGAAACTTAATTTGAAGTTTGAAATTGAAGTGCTTTGCAAGACTTTAAATCTCGATTTGCAGAAACTGAAGCCAATTGTCTATTTGAAGGATCCTTCACGTTCGATGAATATCGAACATCAAATGTCACAGCCGAAACCGAAGAGTATTGAGCCACCGCCACAACAACAGCAACAGCAGCAGCAGCAGCAGCAACAACAACAACAACAACAACAGCAGCAGCAACAGCAACAGCAACAGCAACAACAGCAGCAGCAACAGCAACAGCAACAACCATCGCAAGGTCACACACCTGGACCCGTTCAAATGGGACCTAACGATGGAGACGGACAATCTTTGCTTATGGGTAGCGGCAGTGGTGCTGGCATCGGCGCAAATGTACCAGGTGGTGTAGTGCCTTCACCCAGCATCAGCAACGAATCAGCCGGTCAGGTTATTATGCAAGCACCCGAGCCGCGATTCTCCTTTGTAGAGATAAATATAGCAAATTTCCATCTTATCGCACAACATGTCGTACTCTCACCCAACATCACATTCTTGCATGCCAATCCCGGTCTGAAGCACATCGTGCTAAATGCCATTGAACGTACAATCACTGAATGGCTGCAACCGGTGGTAGATCGCAGTGTACGTATTGCTGTGACAACCACAGAGCAGATTGTGCGTAAAGATTTCGGTCTCGATCCGGATGAGAATCGTATGCGTACAGCGGCACATCAAATGGTGCGTTATTTATCAGCCGGAATGGCTATGATAACCTGCAAAGATTCCTTATCGCAGACATTGACTAACAATATACGCAAAGCGTTCTTATCGGCGTTGACTGGCGGTCCCAGTTATCAGGAGATCGAAGCTGCTGCTATACAGTTGAGCAATGATAATGTCGAACTCGCTTGCGCTTTCATACAAAAGACAGCGGCTGAGAAGTCAACACCAGAAGTAGATCGACGCATGGCCACTGATTTCGATACACGCAAAATGGCCAGAGATGAGGGAGGGTAAGTGTATAACAATGCTTTTAGTTGCAATTCTAAGCAATTAATTATTTTAAATTATATATCTATTTAATAGCCGATTCTACGACACACAAACATTGGCTTATCAAACAGAGCGCATGCCAGAACAAGTACGTTTAAAGGCAGGAGGCGTACCACATACACAATTCGCTGTGTATGCGGAATTCGCACGCAATATACCCGGTTTTCAGCCGATGACTGAACGCGATATCGCTCTATTCTTGCCCAAGCCACAGGAGATGCCACCTGCCACATTCGGCACCGATGAGCTAGGTCTCATGTATGCCGATTTGGCTAGCAAAATGGAAGCATTCCTCAACAGCACCATAAACGTTTCCACACTACAAATACAAGCTAGCAAAATGCATGCACTACTCAATGCATTGATGGTGACAAGACGAATACGTGATAATGATTCGGCACTGAACCTTTTGACACGTGTGGTTGAAGGCCTCATCGAAGGATTGGTGAACATACCCGAACACATTGAACAAATGAAATTATACCGTGATATACATTTGCGTATACTCACCTTGTTGCAGAATACATTCGGTGCGGGTGTAACGGAACGTGCAATTACCAAATGCATTTTCGACATACGCGAAGAGGCACGTTACAATGTGGAAGCAATCAAATTGCTTATCAGTTCACATTTTATAAATGTGCCACAATTTGATTTGTTGTTGCGCGAAGCTATGGACAATGGCAATAATTATATGGCAGTGACCTTTGCTATGGCATTGATGGAGCGCCTACTTGACGGACGCACCAGCACCACATTGGAGACGGAGATGACCGGTACATTTGAGATGTTGGGACGCTTGCCACAAAATCGCCATCGTTACCCTGAGACATTGACACATCAGATAGATATGATGGATGGGGGGCCATTTGGCGGCGCCGATCGCTACCTGGCTGGAGCAACGCAATACATGCACTCGGGCATGCAACATGTGCGGGTAAGTGCGCTAACTGGAACAGTTTTCAGTTTGTCAGAACTGTTTGTAAAATTTACTTTATTTTGCTCTTAATTTTAGTCCAACGACTGTGATGATCCACCAGGCTTGCAAGAAAAAACCGAATTTTTGCTCAAAGATTGGGTCTCCATCTACAATCAGTCGAATAATTTGTCCCGTGAAACTAAGATCTTCACCTCATTTGTGCAGAAGATGAATATGTATGGTATTTTGAAAACCGACGATTTGATTACGCGCTTTTTCCGCCAAGCCACACAAATCTGCATTGATTTAGTCTATCGCATACTCAACGATCCAAGCAACTCACCGCTGCAGGCGCGTACTAAAATCTTCCATTGGATAGACGCTTTTGTGCATTTAATTGCCCTGCTTGTACGCCACTCGGGCGAGGCGGGCAATCCGACGACAAAAATCAACCTGCTAAACAAGGTGCTCGGCATCGTTCTAGGCATATTGCTGCAGGACCAAGAATTACATGGCACTGCATTCCAACAGCTCGGCTATCATCGCTTCTTTGTGATGCTATTCCTAGAACTGAGCTCACCCGACGCTGTGCTTGAGAGTCTGATGCTCAGCATTATGACAGCTTTCTCGCACACCTATCATCTCTTGAATCCAGCATTGGCACCTGGTTTCTGCTATGCTTGGCTGGAGCTGATCTCACATCGCATTTTTATTGGACGTATACTTGCACAGATACCGCAACAGAAGGGTTGGCCACTGTACTCACAGCTGCTGCTCGATTTGTTCCGCTATCTGGCGCCCTTCTTGCGGAATGCTGAGCTAGCGAAGCCCGTACAATTGTTGTACAAGGGAACGCTGCGTGTTCTGCTCGTGCTATTGCACGATTTCCCTGAATTTTTATGTGACTATCATTTTGGCTTTTGTGATGCAATACCGCCAAATTGTATACAAATGCGCAATATAATATTGGCTGCTTTCCCACGCAATATGCGTTTACCCGATCCATTCACGCCAAATCTGAAGGTGGATATGTTGGCGGAGACTGCAACAGCACCGAAAATTTGCTCCAACTACGTATTTAATATACAACCGGCAAATTTCAAAAAAGATCTCGACTCATATCTGAAGGCGCGTGCACCAGTGACTTTCCTATCGGAGCTACGTTCCCATTTGCAGATCTCAAATGAGCCCGGTTCGCGTTACAACATTCCGCTGATGAATGCACTCGTGCTGTATGTGGGCACGCAAGCTATTTCGCACATAAGGTGAGCAAAGCATCCACGGGAATTATAAATTTTTGTAAAAATATATGTATAACTACAACAAATCTTTTCCATTTTTTTTTGCTGTGCACAGAAGTAAGAATTTCGTGCCCAATACATCGAACATCGCACATAGCGCACATATGGATATATTCCAGAATTTGGCGGTAGACTTGGATACCGAAGGACGTTATCTCTTCTTGAACGCCATTGCCAATCAGTTGCGTTATCCGAACAGTCACACGCACTACTTCAGCTGTGCCGTGTTGCATCTGTTTGCTGAGGCCAATTCGGAGGCGATACAAGAGCAAATAACACGTGTACTACTCGAGCGCTTGATCGTAAATCGACCACATCCATGGGGCCTGTTGATCACATTCATCGAACTGATTAAGAATCCCATCTACAAGTTCTGGGATCATGACTTTGTGCATTGTGCGCCAGAGATATCAAGGTGAGTGTGTTGTTTGTATGTGTGTGTCTGTATATGCAAGTGTATTTATTTCTCTATATGTATGTATATATTTGTTATATTGTTAATAAATTTTTTACATGTACTTATTTTGTTTTTTTAGGTTATTCGAATCGGTGGCACGTTCCTGTATGGTCAAGTCTAATCATCCGCCACAGATAAACAATATTGATGGCGAAATTCAGGAAATCAATTAATTAGATTCAGATAATACAATAATAACAACAACAATAATGAAAAAAAAGAAATGTAGAACAACAACATAGTTCTTACCCAGCGATGGCACTGTGGTCGCTCATGATAGTAGTGGTCGGCGGTAGTTTGTAAGAATTTGTGTATTTTATTTGATGCGCTCTGTTTGTTGGTAGCGATGGCGGCGTTGCCAGCATATTGCAACCGGCCATTATCCTTCATTACATTTGAGTGCGCGTAGCGCCACACTGCCATTCGATTAACAAGCAGTAGCAGAAGATTAAAAAGTTTTCTTTTAAGCTAAAGATACAAAAACATATAATTGATTTATGAATTAAGAGATTGCAACTTTTGTAAAAAGAAAAAATTAAAAAAAAAAAATTGAAAAATCAAGTAATGAGAAAGAAACAAAAAAAAAATTTAAAAAAAATATATAAATATATAAATAAACAAATAATTTACTTCTAAGTAGTTTAAAATACACGATAAAGAGGAAGCAACACTTGAAAGCAAATTTAAATTAAATTAAATTTATTAATAATAACTAATTGATGTATTATATAAAATTAATTTGAACAAAACACAACAATATATATGCTAATTATTAAAGAAAAAAAATTTAAAGGTGTTTGTGTAAAAGTTTATAGTTGTTGGCAAGCGAAAAGGGAACAGAAACAGAAATCCAAACGAGGAAGCAAATAAAAAATAGTATCATATGATCGAAAACGCGACAAGTATGTACACTTAACGCTCGAGGAAGTGAAGTCTTGGCGAGAGAAAACGAATATAAATGAGGAGTGATGGTATGCGTGTGGTTACAATAATTATGCTGCATTGCTGACCTGAAACACTGCGGCAAAAAATTTACAATTTTAAATAAATAATAATTACATAAAAATAAACAAAAATTAATAAACAAAAATTAAGGATAAATTCAGAGAAAATTAAAAATATGTGTATTCAATAATAAACGAAGAAAATACAATACTTTAAATATTATAAATATAATGCTAAAGAATTAAAAAAAAATCACAAAACTACATAAATGTAATGAGGGAAACTTATGAGTAAAAGAAAATAAATCTATAAATCTAAAAAGAAATTTAAGAATGAAATAAAAAAAAATAAATATTGAAATAAAAATCAAATAAATATAAAAAAGAAAAAAAAAATTATGAAAAAAAATGTAAAAGCAACAAAAAATTAAAAAAAAAAACTACACACACTTAATGTACATACTTGTATGAATAAATGCGCATTGAAAAAGAAAAAAGAAACGAAACAATGCCGAAAGAAATATATTAAAATTGCTATATTTTGCAACATTTGCTAGCATATTGCTGCTGTCACAAGGCGAGAGGCAAGGAAGTGACATAAAATAGAGAGTGGCAAGCGTTTTTCCGGAAGTAAGGGTGTAGAGTGGAACTTAAAGCAACAACAACAAAAGCAGACAACAGCGTGCAATGCCGAAACGCCGCTTGTGCTGCAGCAAAACACTAAGCAAATGTTGGTATTATTTAAAGAAAATAATATATGTATATGTATGTATATTTATGACATAAGTAAATGGTGATGCTTTTAAAAAAACTAAAACATATATAAATATATACATAAATAATTATAATGGCGATGATGTGATGTGTAAGAGATACAATTAGAGATACATACATACTTATATTGGAGCGTTTGAATAGTGTGCGAAGAAGAAGCGAAGAAGAGCACAATGGACAAAAGCAAATTTCGTTTAACCGAAAGGGGGTAAAATTAAAAAAATACAATTTAAAACTTTTAACTTTTAAACTATTTTATTACATACATATATAAACACTACAGTAATTTTCTTTAGATTCCTACAAATTTAAAAATTTTATGAAGAAAAAACACACACTTTGTAAGATGTGTTTGGTGTTTACTTAAATTTACATCGCTAAAAGTGTGAAACGTTTTCACTAAAATTTTCATTTCGGCTAAACGAAATCTGCTTTGTGCATATTTAAAGTATTGCATATATTTTATTCTCGTTAATATGTTTCGATGTACAAAACTAAGTGAGCCAACTGGGGTTTTTTCACACACACACACACACACACAACTCCATTCATACAAACACCACTACAACAACATTTTATGAAACTTGTCAACTTTGATTTTTCGTTTTTAATTAGCAATGTACAATTTTAAAGGGAATATATACAACAAAAAAAATATAAATTTTAGCAAAACAATTGCAATACATGTCATTTGAATGGAAAGTTCGTTTATTTTTAATTTGTTGCTTTACAATATAAATAGCAATTCAACATTATAACTAACGCAAATGCTTTATGAGCGCTTATTATTATTTTATCATTACCATTATTATTATTATAATTATTAAATTGAAAGAATAAAATTAATTATTAGTTATTTTAGATGTTTGTTTTTTATTTTTCTCAATTCACTTCAGTTAAGCGAAGGAAATGATTTTGATGCCCTCATATATTAAGATTATAAAATAAAATTAAAAAAAAAAAAAAAAAATGCATTAGAATGCAACAACAACAAAAACTAAAAACTGAGAACTAAAAACAAAATCTCATGTGCTGAAAACGCCAGAACTGCATGTCATTCACTGATCATTTTAATTGAAATGTTTATGTAATTAATAGATATTAAAAGCTAAAAAAAAGAAAGAAAAAAAAATACAAATACTTATTATTTCCGATTAATTAAATGTCTAATTACATACAAAACAAAGGTATATAAGATATATCTGTATTTATACATCTAATGTATATATNCATATATATATATATATATATATATAAATGTATATATATACATACATTGAAATGCATACTATGTAATTAATTAAATAATTATGATTAATTATAAATTGAATGATGATTAATTCTATGCTAGTGAAAGCGTACAGAAAAAATTATATGCAGCCGAAACGGAAAAACAACAACGGAATGATAAAAGCGTACATATATATATATATATATGAAGAATAAAAATTTAAACTAAAGAAAAAAAGCAAAAGAAAAAAAACAATGCAGAAGAAAAAATTAACAAAAAAAAAAAAAAATTATGAAATAAATAAATAAGTAACAAAAATGAAAATAAATATATATTACAGATGCATTAAAATAAAACATAGTCATATTCATTAAAAAAAAAAACGTATTTTACTTGGCTGCGCAGTCGCTGGGTTGGGTAACTTTTCGAAATTCACCTCACCCAAGTGAGGCATATAAATGAGAGGTAGATAGTTGATGGTTGCTTACACATATATATTTTTCATCCCATTCCAGTCTCTGCGACATCTATGATACACTAAGTCCAGTAGTTAAAATATTCACAGCATTATATTATATCAGAATTTGATGGCAGTCATATTCCTGGCTTGCGGCACTTGCATTGCACAACTTTTACTGCGAGCACCTCAATCGCATTTAACACAATAAACAATACAACATAGTTCGCGACCTCAACTAAAATCGGTCCTACGCGCGAACTGTTCTAGTAGCAGTGGATCTGTCAAAAGCTTTAGACACTGTGAATTATTCAGTGTTACTATTGGACTTTGTGGACTACTCATTACCGCCAGGGCTGGAGAGGCGGACCATGGGCTACTTGAGCGGTGTACAGTTATTCGTAGAGTTTCGTGGTCAAACATCCAAACTCTGTAAATTTAAAAACGGAGTTCAGCAGAGAGGTGTACTCTCCCCACCTCTGTTTAACTTTTATCTTTGTGACAAAACTACAGAACCGCAACGAAATTCTCAAACAATTGGCCGGCGGCCAATCGTAACTTATGTTGCTCCGATTTTGACGCCGGGAATTAGCGAGTCGCAGATGAAGAAGCTACAAGCTGGTCCTATCACCGACCTTACAACCTTCATGAATATGCTTTCAAAGAACGGCGTTTTCGGCATCCAATCACCGCCCATTGCACACGAAGAGCTCGAGGTGCACCGGGATATCCGTATAATAGTGAGACAATCTGTATATGGCAGTCGACTAAATTCCTTTTTATCCAGGCTTGACCCCGACATATCCAACGTGTGCCCTGCATGCAATGAGAACCCCACGGCAGTGACCTTCTCTTTGCCCCCCTTTCCCTCTGCTTAGAACTGGTCAAAACAGCTCGTTCATTGATATCCCGATTATCACCTCATAAGGGTATAGATATTCGAAAAGGCGATGTTGAGTTCGAAATACTTTATACATTCTCATCGTTATCCAGCGCTACTCAGTCGCTTTCTTTGAACAACGATTTTTGGCATTACAGGCTTCCACACGACCCTAGAAGAAAGGAGCTGGTGGCAAAATAAATATATACATATATATGCATATAATCGGAGTACGCAAAATTTGGCGATCTATGGAATAGGTGTAGGGGCTATAAGAAAAAACCGTGCTAATGTTAAAGTACATAGGAAGCGCCAGGGGTATCCGCTCTGTGAACGCTACACTGCGTTGTGGTCCCATTACTGTAACTAGGAAACCATCAAAGGAACTTGTATAGTTCGATATTTCTTCGATCTTAAGTAGAGAGCCAGAGAGCTTTCCCTTCCCTGCTCCATCGGACCAGAATATTGAATACTGATAGTTCTCTATTTCTACCTTTCCACTGACTTTCACTCCCAAAATCTACGCCGACTCTTTTCATTATCTGGACAAAATCGAAGTCCATGACTTGAAATAACTCTCTGTGTGAGACTGCGATTGAAACTAAAAAAACAACACTAAACTATAGAGCAGATTAAAGCTAAATAATTGTTCGTAGTGCTTGGGCGTCAAGTAACACTATGCCGCTATGTAGCGCTCATCTCCAAAGGTTAGGTAAAGTGTAGTCAGCTGGGTAAAGAAGGTGCACAGAAGATGATGAAACGATAAGCACTATCTCCCTCAGTGTGCGGTCTTTATACTTCATAATTCTCATGATACTACCAGCTTCAGCATTACGAAGAAATTTAAAAAAAAGTTATTAAGCCGAGCTAATGATTCGAAAAAAAATCTAATTATGGAAAGCACCGGAGCACAATTATACTACTCAATAGCTTGAGCACGACCATTTGCGGTCAGATCCTCAACGTTCTCTCTCAACCAACCTTTTAGCGCTCTCTATGCCCGAAATCACGATAGGCTATATATGCCACGGCTACATTACGTAGAGCGGCGTACCATTCAAAGCGAGTCTATTATATAAATACTGAGATTTGCCAGAAGATCGACTCACTGCATAGTCTCAACAACTACATCACCAACGCTCTCTTGCTGATTTCGAAAAAACAAGAATTTAACTCATCTCAGCGGGGCAGGTCATAGATTAGGTATGGGAGTGTTTAATTTGCTCTAAATAAAGAAGCAAAGCGAATGGGTTTTGTGCTGAACTAGGACAAGACGAAATATAATATTAACCGTCATCAAAGAAGCAGTTAACGCGTATACGCAAAGTCACCAATCTTTGAGCGAGGATAAATTGCAGGATCCTCATTCTGCAGCTAAAAGAACAGCAATTTTCTGTAGATTAGAGAAAGAGCTGGAAGTGTAATGTAGTAGTGCATTGCATCTTGAAGCGTTATGGACTTAGCATAACCTAAGTGAGACTGCCTTTGGAGGCAACGGGTTAAACCTAACTTAACCTAACTTATGGTCGTGGTTGTGACAAGCTGTACGAGCTGTATGGCAATGGTCAAACAGACAGCTATGCAAATACGCTATGTGGAATCAAGTTAAAAAGAAGAAGAAGCATTCAACTATGATGTTTATAAAAGTGGAAAATCCGCATTATTACCAAAACTATTTTATATCGATAAAATAAACGATAAAACAGCAATTCTTCTACCTTAAAAGTTATGAAACAAAACTATTATTTTTCCATCACTGTTATTTGTGTGACAAAAGCTTTTCGAAAAGTTTCAAAGCTTTTTTTAAATAAGCTTTCGCTTACATATGAAATGAGCCAATGTAGAACAGCCACAAACTAGGTAACCATTAGATACCAACAGTTTAGCTGCAGATAAAATATATATATATATATGTATATATATGTATAAGAAGCTGGCGAAATTTAGTTTATAATTTTTTATTCCTACGTTAA